CGTGTTGCGCGGGCCGTTGGCGTCGCTGAGCTGCCGCCAGAACGCCGCCGCTTTGTCGAGCTGCTTGGTCGAGATCAGCGCCTTTAAGTACGACGCGTTCATGGACTCGGTCGGGTACACACCGTGGCCAAGCGCAAAGTCCATGGCCGCCTCGACGTCCGCGTGCGCGTGCTGGAAGCTAAGCATGCCCAGAAGAAAGGACATGGTGCGCCGCGTCGGCTTGACGAGCGGTGACGCCGCCGTCATGTCTTGGAGGTTTTCGTACAGCAGCGTCGCCGCTTCGTGCTGCCGGTACTTGACGAGCAGCGTCATGGCTTCCTGCTCGACGCGCGCCGTCATGACCGGGTCGAACGGCGCCGGCGCGGCGTGGCCTTCGAGTGATTGCACGAGCGGGCGGTAGTATGAGGCCACTTCCTTGACGACGCCCGCAAAGTCGTTGTCGTCACAGAGCTTCTGTAGCTTGGCGTACGCAGCGTGCATGTGGTCGACATCGATTGACGGACTGGTGGCATTCTTGGCCTTGGGCGGGAGGCTGCTCAAGGAGAAGTCGCGCACCGCCGAGGCGCTCGATGTAAGAGGCCGCGCGACGAGGTGCATGGGTCGCAACATGGCGGGCGACCGGGCCGAGCGCTTCAAGGTCGCGCGGAGGGCCGCGCCAAGGGTGCGTGCTGCCATCGCCGACGAAGTTTCTGGTTGTTCATTGGCCCGCGAGCCCAATTTAATATCCAGCATAAAGGTACATACAAACACCAAGTACATACGCGTGGTTTAAAAAAGAGCGCAGGGAGCAACCTCTCATATTGAATACGACCTGTGGCATTTTATGCTATCGAGCCATCTTGCGCACGCCGCCGAGAGCTACCGCCGACGACGCGGCGCCGACGCCCGACTTGCTGCTGCTGGTCATTCCCCAGGTAGAACGTGCCACTGCTGTAGTACCGTAGCTGGAAGGCGACGCGCCTTTCTGGTCCTCGTATCCGGAAACCCTAGGCCAGGCCAGGAATTACGGATACGAAGATGGACCGGATGCCAAACGACTCGACAGTCGGCCGGCGGATGATGACCGACAAGGCGGACAAGCCCAAGACGACCCGCAATGCGTTCATCGGGTTCGACCAAGAAGTCAAGTACGGCCTCAAGGTGACGGTGCGCGAGGCGAACGAAGCGCAGCAGGCCATGTGTCTCTTCTGCCTGCACTTTGGCCGCCAGCAGGCCGAGGGCCGGACGCGCAAGCCCTTGTCGACGGTCAAGATGTACCAGCCGCCGTTCCGCCTCGACAACCTGGCGCAGCACAACCTCGCCCACCACCGCGACCGGTGGGCCGAGTACTGCGCGTTGTCATACGAGCAAAAGCGCAGCTACTTTCCAACTACGCCACCGTCGATGGTGGTACCGCCGCCGAAGCGCAAGCCCGCGGCATCGCCCACGCTCTGCGAACCACTGCGAGCAGACCAGCCAGTCGCTGAGTCGTTGTCTCCGTCTCCACCAACCAGCGACGATGTGCACGTTGCGATGGCCGACGAGCGTCTCGCGATGGAGCGATCCAAGCACGTCATGGAGGTCGAGATGCTGCGAAAGACCGTCGAGCTCAAGAAGATCGAGGTCATTAGTGCAACGATGCTTGCGCGGCAAACTCTAGCCGATGCTGGCGTAGCACGCGTCGAGATCGACCTTGTGTTGCCACTGCCACGGTTCGATGCCGCCACATAGTCAGTAGGTTACCATCAATCAAGGCCTCATGTACAACGCCTCTTCTATCGCGACGCCTTGCGGAGCGTATCTTGTCCTTGTCCGGCACCCACGACAGACAGGCGTGTGGCCTGTCAAGGACTAAACGCGCGGGGCTTCCGATGCCAACGCGGCGGATTGGAAGAAGACAAGAGGGGCTACACCTACGGGGCTTGAGCCCCGTACCTCCTGCACACGAAGCTATATCGTCCAAGCTCACGACGCATCCTGACGCAAGGTATCCATTGCTCGACGGAGTTGGCGCGCGGACGTGCCTAGCGTTCGGCGCCGCGGTATTTGATTGGCCCGTGCGTAGCCTAGTTCTTATCGGCGTGTGATTGGCAGCTCAAAATATAATTCCTCACGCCTTTGGCATACAAATTGCACCTGGTTTAATACAAAGGGTGCAACGGAGCCCGACGTTAGGTTCGGATGCAGCAGGCCATGGAAAGCAGCAAGCCGCAGCAGCGCGGAGCCCTCCGGCCGGAGCACGAGGTCAAGTACGGCGTGTCCGTGACGAGCCGCAGCGCAGCGACCGGCGACGCGCTCCAGGCCACCTGCCTCTTTTGCGTGCACTTTGGCCGGCAGATTCGGTCCGAGCGCGCGCGCAGCATTGCGACGCAGGTCAAGGTCTACGAGCCGCCGTTCCGCACCGACAACTTTGTGCAGCACAATCGACTGCACCACTGGGACCACTGGATCGCATACAGTGCGCGGGACCCGGACGCGAAGCTCGTCTACTTCCCGGCGGCGCCGATCCCGTCAACGATGCAGATCGCCGTGGCGCCCAAGCGGCGGTCGACCGCCAAGCGCCCTGCGTTGCCCGAGCCCGAGCCTGTGCCGACAAAGAAGACAAAACCTGACGCTATCTCGCT